ATTTCAGAGGAATGTCCCACATCCTCGTTGGTGCCAACAAGAACATGCGCTGTCTGAAGTAACTATCTGGATGAGGAGGTGAAGTTGTGGGCTTGCAAGGACTTGGTGGATAAAACCAATTCTGTGAAATTTGCTGCTTCAGCTGTCTTGTGCTGTCATAAAGACACTGTGCTATCCACTTCCAGTCTGCTGGTTTAATTACTCTACAGAATTGCTTGGGGAGAAAACTCACCCAATTCACTTCTGGAAGCCTCAGGTTAATGTGTGGTTTGGATGGTATGTAGGGTGCACCTTGTGGAGCTCCTTGCCACTCTTGGGTCTAACTGGGTTGTTGTGTGTCAGCAGCAACTGATGAATGTGCTTGTGCAGCTACAGAATCACAAATGTTGTTGTGGGAGGAGCTGTAGGTGGAGCCACAGTGTTTCCTCCTTGGTCTGCCAGACTAGTCAACAGATGGTCATTTTCAATGTGCTGAAGCAGTCCAACTGCACCCTTAGCTTGAGTACTGGTCAGTGGCCTGGCTGCTTTCCTGTACTGGTCCGTGGGGTTGGCTGAGACTGGTCAGTAGGACTGGTCCGTGAAGCTGGTTGCATGCTGATTGTATAAACGACAGTCATCAATACACTGCAACGCATCCTTCCACTTCGCTCCTGGCTTCTTCCCTGTTGTAAAGCGGTACTTCCCTTTGGTGTACTTGCACAGGATGTCACACCGGTACGCGTCAGGTTTACCGGTCTTAGTCATGTCTACAAATATGAAACAACAGGGTAAATATCAGACAACTTGGGCTCATTTTAAAGTTCATGAAAAAGTTGCCACCCTAGCTAGCTAGAATGGAAGAGAGGGCAAAACTTATGGCAAATGAACAATTGAACTACAGATACAAATAATGTAAAATAATTTCTAAGAACAGAAAAAAAATATATACAAAAAATCCTTTGTTCCGATGGTAAAGATTATTTTAAACAGAACCATTAAGTAGTAGGATTTATAACATGAACATAATTCATGTTTGTTTATGTACATGTATGGTTGTCCAGTCATGTATGTATTTGTTGTTATTGTTTTTCTTTTATGCCAGTGTCAAAGACAATTTTCTTTCTATGGCAAATAGATAGAGTGGATAATAAAGTTTAAACTAAAGAGTGCTTGAAGTTTTGGGGTATCTAAAAGCAGTATAAACTATACAGTAAACTTTCAGAAACAGAAAAAGCAACAGAATATAAAATAAAACTGCATAGTCCTCACTGCATGACTAAAATATATATTAATCTTTAATAAAGCTACTAAAGTTATTCGGTTAAGAGCAGTGTGGAGTTTTCTCTTTCACTGTTTGAAGCCAATATTTTTGACAGATAACCGACTTTTTCCAACTGTTCACCTTCACTAAAGACATAACCGCTCGTGTTTAAATGAAACACTCGGCAGACTAGACAGGAATTCTGATCAGTTTTAAGTGTATTTTTCATGCCAACCGAGTTTTCATACCGAGTTTTTTTTCTTTTCGCGCAGTTTTAACACCAAACATGTCCCACTCTGTATTTTTACATTCGTCATTATTATTGTTATCACTGTTAGTATTATTTTATGTAGTATAAATGAAGCAGCGCTGCCACTGAGAGCCGAGCAGACCTGCTCATATCGCCGCGATTTACAGCCTCATGCAAACCCAGCACCTAATGTTTGTCATTGATAAACCACCGATTTAACAATAAGGTTGGCTAAATTAATGTTGGTACTCACCTCGACGTTATCCAGATATGCAAAAAATCTTAAAACCTGTGTTATATAATAAATCTGGCGAGCGCTGTGAGCTCTCCGTGCTGTCAGGATCGTGAACGGTTCCGCCAGCCATTTTGGGCCGCGGTTTCTCTTTATATTATATTAATCACGTGCTTTGTCACGTGACTGAGTTTCAGCCAATGGCTGTTCTGCCCCGAGCACCGTAAGGAATTGTTAGGAGTTTTGTTAGGACTAAGACCATGAATGTTAGGATTGTTAGGAGTTTTGTTAGGAATTATTTAGAATGTGTTACGACTTGTTAGAAACTGTTAGGAACAGTCTGGCAGTCCGCAGTGTTTTAAGGTCGGTCACCTCGTCCTCACGACTGCAGCGCTCACTGGTGGAGTCTAGTAAATATCGCCATCTACTGGAGAGACATTGCTACTTCAGCAGCGTTTTTAAGGTGAACCGGAAGAGTCGAAAAATAAATGAAACAAAAAGTTAGCTGAATCACAGATGCTTCAACGTTTTAGTACATTTCAGTACAGACTTTCTCAATAAAAAAAACGTAGCCCTGGAGCAGTAGTAGTGCTAGTACCATAGTAGAACTTGGACTCCTACGTCGGCCCCGGTATATCCACAGAAGCTCTCGGCGAAAGTTTGCTTACTCCCGGTGTGGTAAAGAAATTCCTTCCGTTTGGGCAGCTGTGCGCCCTGTAGCATCTCTTCCACATCATCAGAGGACTGATAACCTGTTGATTAGTAGCACTGGAGATACTGCAACAGCGCCACACATGGAGCCA